GCTATTTTTATGTCATCGCAATGTAATTCTCTTTATTAAAAAAAATATTTAAAAAATACTTTTCTAAAATTCTATTTTAGGAATATTGGCTGATTTGAAAATGAATTAATGTGATTTGAAACTAATATTACTTATTTTAAGTTTAAACTATCGCAGCAATGCATTTTTACACCGCGGTAGCTGTAAAGTGTTTACATGTTGACCGCTTGGCTGACAGACGGAAGTTTATTTAATGTTTGTCTTTGGTATATATATATCTGTAAAAATAACTTGAAGAATTTAATGCCTACGACTTTTTTATATACTTTTTACCTACTCAGTAATCTTAACAAATTAGGAAAATATTTCCCGTAACCTAATGTTTTATTGAATTTTAGATATTTTGGCATTAAATTTAATATAGTTATCGCTCTCATTTTTTCATAATGTCTGTACCTGAAAAACCCGTTCACGTTTATACACACACAGAAACAACTTATAAAAATTCTTTTTAAAATATTGGTGTTCAATGAATTGTAATAAGCTTTTACGTTTATGATTAGTAAATATAGTTTTTACTTAATATCACCTAACCTATACTAATTAATACAGAAATTTAAAATTTTATAAATTATTATAATTAAAATGTTAAAAAAATGAAAGAAATTCTGGGAAATTTTCATTATTCAGTGAATTTTTTCTTTGTTAAGACAATATTGTACTTAATATATCTTATTCATGAAAGCATATAAAAGAATTTTTATATTAATGTTTTAGTTTTATTGTAATTTTTATTTTACAATTCAGAGCCGTTTTTCGGTAAGTGGGGGTCCCTTTTTACAAAAAAAGTAAAAAAAAAAGATGATTTAACTTCTCCAAGGATTTCAGCGTATGATTAATTAAATTAATTTCTCGAAATTATATAAATTAAATAAGTCGGTGTTGGTTGATTAAAGGCACGAAGAAACATTTTTACCAAGATTTTCTAAAAATGAAACATTTCTAAAATAATTTCATTCATTTTTGAATAAGTCCAGAAAGTTTCATTAATACCCGTCATGTATTTCCTTTTTGCAAGAATTTCAAAATCATTGTGTTTCTCATAACAAGAACACACTAGATTTCTAAGACTAATCTTTGGTTTCCCCGCTAACGTAAGAAAAAGAAGATTTTTAACCATAATTTCGAAAGTTCTAAAAAGGATAAAAAAATATAATTCAATAATAAAAAAAAAATTCTTTGATTTCCTCTTAAGCATAACATTTGGAGATAAAAAAGAAGGTTTTTTTTATTAATTTGGGGGCATTATTTAACCATGGTGTACACATTTTTAGCGAATTTGTGGAGGTATCTACTTATAGCACTCTATTCAACAAGATGACGTTCTTAACAAAAAGTGTCAGAAAAGAAATTCTTCATAACTGATCATCGAAAAATAAAATGAATTTATTCTTTTTTTTTTTTTTTTTTTTTTTTTTAATTATGCCCTCTCTTTATTTTCATATATTTCTCTGCTTTCGGAAATGTGTTTTATTATTTTACGGGTGCGGTAAAAGGAACTGTTTTAAATTTTAATCGTAATGTTTTAATCTGTCGGCAGTTACATGAGATCGTCTGTATGAGACGCTATGAAAGATTGTCATGGACGCAGGTGGCAGATGTCAAAATCAATGAATTCAACACATCAGAATGTTTTCCCTATATATTTATACATAGAACAACGTAATTTACGAAGAGAGAAAAATGCACTATTGTGTGGCTAAATAGATATGTTTACGGCCATATCATGTTGAAAGACCGGTTCCGTACGATGACCGAAATTAAGCAACGTCGAGTTTGTACAGTATCAAGATGGGTGATCGCTTAGGAATACCAGGTTTTTTAAGCTTGAATGTTCAAGTGATGTAATGGATAAATGCTCAGAATTGTTAATCCGATAGCCGGGTTCAATTTCAGTTGGGTTCATTATATTCACTTACTTGCAACTACCCTTGGGAAATGTATGAATACATTTCGTCTCCCCTCCCCAGATATGGATTAATTATTAAAATTTTTTATCACTGAATCATTATAATCTCAAAAAAAAAAAAATTCTTTCATTCAAAAATTACTTTCTGGCTTGAAATAAGCTGCAAATGGTGGATGAGCCGTAGAAAGCGAATAAAAGAAATAGACAAAACTAGGAAAACAGGGGGAAAAATTATGGGATTAACGCTAGTGTGTGTGTGTGTGTGCGCGCGCGCCACGTGCTATGGGGAAATTCAGTGGTCGGCTTGTCCAAGAGAAGATGTTTACATCCGTGGGGAAGAGTTCCATTATATCGATACCGCATCCTGGAACAAAAATAAAAGAAAGGAAAAGGGATTTTTTTTTCTGCTGTATGACTGATTATCGTGTCATCGAGCGGCGTTAAGCGAAGTCCATTAGCAGACAAGATTAGTTTAATGCAGCCAGTTGGAAAATCCCTTTTCGTTTACTGAAGGAAAGGTACGAATATACATTAGGTACGAAAATATGATCTTGTTAAAGAAATAAAAAAAAAGATTATCGAATATAAAAATGAAGCATTGCACATCGAAGGGTTTCGAAGAAAGATTTCGTGTACTGGGGAGACATTAATTTCACTGAAATTCGCCGGATGTTACTAAAATAAAAATCATCGAATGTGCAATCAACGTGTGTAAGAAGAAAGCATAGTAAGACTGATGTAAGCATAAGGAAGCAGTGAATATAGTACCAGTCCGAAATCAGCTTCGTATATAAACATAACGAATTGCATTAAATTAACCAAGAAGGATCGCAAACACTTAAAATTACTCCACTTGACTGCAAAAGAACTTTGGCTAAGTACCGCTAGATGGCGTTGCCCAAAACAGTATATAAGAATAGAACGCAAAAGTCGCATTTTCTTCTTTCTCTGTTAATCATAGAATGCCTTAGAGATAAGACGCGTTTCATCCCACACCCGCCTGAGAGCTGGGACTTTCACTCATCATCGAATCTCATGTCGCATTGTGACAAAACTAGGGATAAAGTAAGTCGACGAAATTAGTTCCGACCCTGCTTGCATATCATGTCCCGTTAACCCTGATGGAAGTCAGAGAGGAAGAGGGAGGTTTTGATTCTGGCGCTGATTTTATTCTAACGTCTCACGTGACTTCTGCGGTGTCACGTGATTACATATCGAAGGGGAATACCGCCCTACATTTACCACATATTCTTTTTTATTTTTTATCATGTTTCTATGATTTCTTACCTACTAACTAATAATAATAATAATAATAATAATAATAATAACAACAACAAACGTTTAAATAATAAAAAATTCAAATCTCTTCTTTATTCGCAAGAAGATTATCCAGCATCGACTGCCAAAGACGTGGACCGACATTACATAAGAATTCAATACTCCTTTCTTTGTTTCTAAGTAGATTTTACTGTTTTTTTAATACTTGTCATCTTTCCGCTTTGGAATTTAAACGTCGCGTTTTCCGTCTTCTGTTAAAACACTTATTAGAATTTTTAAATTTTAATTTTTTGTACTTGCTTGATTTTGGTGCTACCAATTCGTAGTTCGCATCTTGTGCTATTCCATCTTTTTTGAACACCCATACGTTATGTCTTCTTACAATAAATGCTTAGTCCTTACTTCTCGCTTTCCTTTACTACCCACCATAGGATTTTCTGCAGTTATATTTTTTTTTTTTGCTATCATGGATACGGCATATAAAAGAAAAAAGAAAGATTTACAAAGATGTCATCTTGGAATTGAGAAATTAGGAAAGCTGTGAAAATGTGAAGGTTGTGTCCATAATAACAAGGAAACATGGAACCGTGACAGAAACATGAGAATCAAAATTCGTTATGATGATAATATTTATGACGATTGCGATAATGATGCATAAATTGTTCAATATTTTATTTCGAATGATATTTTCATTTGGAAATTTAAAATTTTGAAAAAAAAAAGAAAGTTAAACTAGAAAATTTTGTTCGCTAAAGTTAGCTTCGAAGATCTCTCTAGCTTAAGGGAGACTTCACTGTGTTTTATTATATTCAGGCCATTACTAATGTACCCAATAGAATGAAATTGTCATTAATTGACCCTTGCTACTGAACAAATGTCACGTCTTTTCAGTTCGTATTGAGAAAGTCATTGAATACGCCAACAAATTCTTTTTTATCATACAAAAGAAAGAAGCTGCAATAGAAAGACGAAAAACTGGAGACTTTGACACTTGATTTGCATGTCCGATGTTCAGCATTGTGCAGGCATCCTGTTCGCTGGAAAACATTGGCTGGCTAAGGAGAATGAAAAGCTTGAATAGACCGAGGCGGTTTTTAACATAATAATGAGTTGAGAAGTAGTGTGGCAAGAGCAACAAGAACGCCAGCCATAGCAACAAGAAAGATAGAAAAAAGAAGAAAAAAATACACCATAAAAGTGGTGTGTGGAATATATGTGAGATAGATGAAGGGATTAAAAAGGACAAAAGTATAGGATGGAGAAAGAAACAAATAAATCGAAATCTAGTTCTTATATGACTCCATTACAAAAGGGAAACGAATATAAATAGGTAGACGTGTTATGAAAGGATTAAAAAAGAAAGATTGAAAAGAAGAGGTATGTGAGAGGGCTATTAAAGAAAGAAAAAGAAAGAAAGAAAGAAAGAAAGAAAGAAAGAAAGAAAGAAAGAAAGAAGAGCAATGCGAGCTTTAATTTTTCATAAATCTTCATTATACAGAAACGAATACGCTTTGGGATAAAGTGTAAGAAAGAAATAAAAAAAAACGAATGAAAAAAGGAAGAAAAGAAAGAAATAAAGACGATTAATACGAGCTTTAATTCTCATAGGGCTTCATTACAAAGAGAAATGAATACACAATGGAATAGCGTGTACTAATAAAAGAATGAAAGAAAGAAAAAAGAAAAGAAAGAAAGAAAGAAAAAAAGAAGAACCATACGAGCTTTAATTCTCATACGGTTTCTTTACAAAGAGAAATGAATACACAATGGAATTTCATGTACTAAAGAAAGAAAAAAAGAAAGAAAGAAAGAAAGAAAGGAAGAAAGAAACAAACAAACAAAGAAGAGCAATACGAGCTTTAATTCTCATAAGGCTTCATTACAAAGAAAGAATACACTTTGGGGTAAAGTGTAAGAAAGAAAGAAAAAAAGATAGAAAAAAGAAAGAAAGACACAAAAGAGAAAGAAAAAAAGAGTAAACTGAGCTTTAATCCTTATAAGATTCAAAGGAAAGAGAAATTAATACACTTTGTACTAAAGCAAGAAAGAATGAATAAAGAACAATATGCGCTTTAACTCTTTAGTTTCGTTACAAAGTCAAATGAATACATTTTGGAATAGAGTGTACTAACGAAAGAAAGAAAGAAAGAAAAAGAAGTCTTCATTATGAAATAGATACGAATATAGTTAACAAGAGATACTATAAAGAAGAAAGAAAGAAGAAAGAAAGAAAAAGGAAAGAAAGAAAGAAAGAAAGAAAGAAAGAAAGAAAAAAAAAAAAGAAAGAAAGGAAGAAATTCAACTTTAAGTTTTAGACGTCTCCATTACAAAAATGAAATGAATTCATATAATGAGAAGTGGTATACCTTTTTATACCACTTCTCCCTATAGGTGTAAGGGGAAAGATTGAAATGATTAGGAAAGAAATAAAGAAAGAAGGCAAGAAAGAAAGAAGTTAAACAAAGTAAAAGTTAAATAGAGAAAAGCAAAAAGAACATTGATTAATATGTCATCATTACAAAACAGAGAGGAATATATTTGGGAATAGATTATAAAGAAAGACAGCAATTAAGAAAGGTTTGTTATAGAAAAAAATGAAAAAATAGAATGATAAAAAAGCGAGTAAAAAGAAAATTAAAAATAATGAATGAGAAAGCAACAAAAATTTATTAAAACGTATTATTTGCATATACTAATATTATGAGTGTTTTTAAGTCATGTTGATAAATATTTAAAGATAATGTTAAAACAAAAAAAAGAGGGAAACAATTTTATGCAAAAATTTTATTTGCCGTTTATAGTTTTCTGTGTGAAATTAAAGCGAATTTTAGTTCTGTTCCTTAGACATACAATCAGGCTAATTATTCCATCTTGTCAGATAATCTTCTTGCGTATGTCAGATCCCTTTAGGACATGAACGATCATGGCTCTCCTCATCTTACACTCTTTTATAGCTCGAAGGAAGTTTTTTTTCCTATCTATTCTAATCCCTGTTCTGCCAACCATTTACACAAACTGGTTAAGTAGTTTATTCGTTACTTTCCTTTGCTCTCCTTGCCTCCAAATATATAATGCGAGTGTTAAATTCGCTAAGCCTCTTTGCGCATTGTATGCCCGAAAAGTTTCAACCGTCTCCCTTTAATTCGAACCTAGTCAGATATGTTTCCAAATATGATAAATATCATTTTGTTTCCACTTTCCCTAAAGGTTTCTCTTTAATCACATATTTAGTTCACAGTATTCCTAGAAGCCTTCTGTAGAGCCACACTTCTGCTGTCCTCAAGCCTCTTCTACATCTGAAAGAAAATGGTCAACACTCACTGCCATATAATAGGACCAATACCACCTAACAGTTCGATGTTCTATATTTTGATTGTTACGAATATTTCTTGGTTCTTAATACTACACTGAGCTATTGGAAAGCATCATCCTGAATACTTCGTAGTATTTTACATGTTCAGTCGGATGCTATTTAGGTTTATTACAGATCTAGAGAAGGGGAAGACGAAAAGTGATCATACAAGAGAATGCTGAGAGTACCATGGACAGTGCATGTAAGCAATGAGGATGTTTTAATAAAAATGCGAAACACTTTTGCTCAGGATCAGAAAGATAAAATATCTGGGACACATGAGAAAGGAGAGACTGAAAAGATAACACAGTTCATACTGAAGGCAAAAAAGAAAGCACCTCTAACGGGGGGGGTGGAAAAGAAGGTAAAAAGAAAACATTACTAAGAACTACAAAGAACAGGAAGTTGTGGAGACCCATAATCGTCCACATTCTGAAGGGACATGGCACATAGAGGAACCTCCTTGAGCATTAAAACGAACCTGCGCCCTAAAATGCGTACGATTTATAGATTGTAAATACCATTAAGTTAGTTGATATATTATTCTATATCTCTTCCAACAGTTGATTCATAATCGTAAGAATTGTTGACGTGTAAACTCAGTAAGTCCTGCGGTGTCCAGCCATTTTATATACATATTCAATGAGAGACAGGACTCGCAATCTCAGTGAACAGGGAGCATGTCAGATATGCTTTCAAATATATCGAATACCAGGGTCGTCATATGAAAAGCGATTAGCCAGTTAGAACAGGAATGACAACACAGTAGATTGGACAATGTTCTGGAAGTATATGGAACGGCTTTCAATAGAGTAGCATTTGTAAATTACGACAACACGCACGATGTTCTTAATGACTGGGGAATATGCGACGGCTGATCAAGAAGTATCGGGATTGGTGCTATAAAAAATACTACGACACATATCAATTCGGCTTTAAATCTCCTTCGAAGTAGTCCATTTCTGAAGTCACACACTTTATCCAATGTCGTTTCCATTGATAGAAACATTTATGGAACTCCTTTTTGGGGGTAGCTAACACCTGCATCGTCTCATTCTCTTGTAAAGGAGTTGTAATTACGGCAACATGCACGATGTTCTTAATGACTGGCGAATATGCAAGGACTGTCAAGAAGGATCGGGATTGGGGCTATAAAAAAAAATCTACAACACATATCAATTCGGCTTTTAATCATCTTCGAAGTAGTCCACTTCTGAAGTCCCACACTATATCCAACGTTGCTTCCATTGATAGAAGCATTTCTGGAACTCCCTTTTTTGGCGGGTAGCTAACACCTGTCTAGTCGCATTCTCTTGGATTTTCTCCACGTCTTGAATCATGATCCTTTCAAGTGTATTTTAAAAAGAAATGATCGCAAGGAGCGATATCTGAGGAATATGTTGGTTGTAAGACCTGGGGAATGTATTGTTGGCTAAAAACTGCTGCAGAAGCCATGATCGCCGATGGAACCTCTGTGGTATGGTGAGATGACCGCAATCTACACACTTTCCTTCCAAGTACACCTATAAACAACGGAAGCGAGGGAAAAGGTTATAACTGTGTGCATGCGTGACAGAGTTCAAGGCCAATATGTGCCCGATTTATACTTCTCTTCAAGTCTGCAGTCAACCGTTATCTGTTCTACTTATGGTCATAGTCTGCACGTTTTACTCTGCGTACTTTAGTTCCGTTACCAAAGCAACAGTCCCGATAATTTTTGCTCAGACATCGTATCAGGGAATATGTCTTTCCTCAAGTCTACGTCGCACACGCAAAGAACTATTACTGGCATGAATGTAGAACCTGATTTCATCACTGTGCGCATGGCAAGCCGTTATTCATTAACCCAGGTGCAGTTTTTCCTTTGTTTTTTATACTAGTGTTCACAAAATAAAGGTACGAGAGCCACTCAAGGTAGAAGGTTATTGAATGCGTTTGTTCTAAGGGCGTCCAATGAGGAGGTAAGACGTGCATGATATGACCATAGGTAGAACAGATAATTATTGACTATAGACTTGAAGAGGTGTAGCATCCTATTAGGAGTCTGTTTCACAATGTAACAATACTGGGAATGAAGCCCTCTTACCAATGGAATACGTAGGAATGTGGACGATTTGATTCTGTGTACGGTGCATGGTGACAGAAAGCTGTGAAGATTTGGACTTGATTGCTGGAACTAAGCTCGTCTAAGCATCGGACAAAAATAATGACAGAGTGGTGAATGGCAAGCAAAGGTTTTTTTTTGCGGGAAAGACATTGTAGGGCGGAAAATAATTCATCACCCACAAAATTAAAGAGACCTAAGTACTCGAACCTGTTGTGATGTCAATGGAGGTTTGATTATGGCCGTTGTATTATTGAAAGTAAACGACTATCAAAGATGTGTTAACAGTCACAAGACTGCATTTGCACTGATCTCTGCTATGAACGCCGTATGGCTTACCAATGCTGTGCTAACAATGCATCAATCTTGGCGAGCGTCTGTGGTCATACAGAGGATGCGTCCGCCAAGAGTATAGGAATAATTATTTGATCGCTGTTACCACCAGTGAAGCATCATTGACTTATTCGTTCAAGTTGCGCAGCAATTCTCCGAAATAACCATACAGGCTCTCAAACAGCCACAATCCGACCTTCTGAAACGTTGAAGAAAAGGAGCATATGTTTGTTTCCGTATCTAGATATAGAATTCCATTGGTTACTTTTGCTTCAAAGAGGATTATCACAGCATGTGTCAACGTATACTGAGGCATAAACAATACACTAATATAAGTATTACTACGTCACAAGATGGCAAGAGATTTATGCTTATTACATTTATAATATAATTATACAGTGTCACCCGGATATAAGAGAGTTGTCGGGACCGGAGAAGAAGTCTCTTATATCCGGGTTTCTCTTATATCCGGATTTGGTTTATTTTATATACATTAACACAGGCTCTAATTTGGGACCAGAGAAAATCTCACTTATATCCAGGTTTCTCTTATATCCGGGTTACACTGTACGTATATGCTAGTCTAAATAAATAAACGGAAAATTCTGTCTGTCACTCTGAAACCCCGCTAATTCGGGCCACATTTGCTCTGCATAGACATAGTATAACTTTTTGGAATCAGGATAATCCCGGGATTGAAAATATGCCCTTCATTTGGGGTTCGTACATCCAGCATTGGAGGAGGGAACAGTTAAAAATCAAATTTTAAAATAACAAAAACAAATTAATGATTTAAATGTTTTTAATTTATATATTATATTATATTTAATATATATATATATATATATATATATATATATATATATATATATATAATATATATATATATATATAAACTCAATGTAAATTAAAAACATTTAAATCATTAATTTGTTTTTGTTATTTTAAAATTTGATTTTATATATATATATATATATATATATATATATATATATATATAGAGAGAGAGAGAGAGAGAGAGAGAGTAGATTTACTTATAATCAGACTTTTATTCATATTTGAAATAAAGAAAATAAAAATTCACTTGGAAAATTTTGACCTGATTAAACTTACAGAGTAGTGGTTCGCAGGAAGAAGCTGTTCAAATAGAACTTGTTTACCAACAATTGAATGAGGAAGGTTTCTATCAATGGCCGTAACATAGCGGGTCCTAGCCGTTAAGGTTTTAACTGTTGAAACTAAGAAATGTACTTCGTCTGAGCACTTTCCATGGAAGTGTCGATAAAGCAGTGAGAGGTTTGCGATGTTTTCTCAGTAAGAAAGTGTTTTGCACGGTGGATAATAATTTGCTACCGACAAGGATAATTTGATATCTTTTGGACTCTATCAAGACTGGAAAGTGAGGACAGTGAAGCTCCTGCGCAAATATGACAGTAGTACTCCATTTTAGGCCTGATACGGGATAACGCCCGGAGTTAGATACGTACTGAAAAGGTGAAGGGACCCGACCATTTTCCTTGGAATTTTAGCGATGGGTCATATGCACGAGTACATTTTGATATCTTGGTTGAATTTAAGGCCCATTATTCGCTGAAGTTACGGGACCTCAATGGGAAAACAGCCATCCTTCATGATCGTTGTTCAGGGTTCGATCGGCGAGATGGAATGTTAACTAGATTAGTTTTCGAGGCATTGAATGTAACCAGTCAATTTTTTCCCCACTAAGTTGTTAGAGCTAGATCAGAGGAGAAACCAGCTGCCAAATTCTGGTCATCTAGCGTTTCAGAGGTGCAGCGATATACCGTTGTAATATCAGCACAGATATTCACAAAATAAAGGTGTACTCTTAGGCAGATTATTAAGTAAAATGAAGGTTAGGCCGAGAAGCAAACCCTGGGGGACGCCAGTGTTGATTGCTATGAACCCGCAGGACTGGCCGTTGACCACTAACTTCAGGAATCTATTGGTAAAATTTTAAGCAGTATGGAGGAACGTGATTTGAAATAAAGTCCTTCCTTTTAGGTTTAGAATTCGATGGTGCATCAGTGATAAGAGCAAGACTGAGTGATGTTCAAATGCGTACCCCCGACAAAGCTTTTGAGTATTGCATTCACTGTTACGAAGACAGACTTAATTTGGGATTAACTGATGTTGTTCTTCCTTGGTAGGACGATAAACTAAATCCGGCAGCAAGGCCTTTGTTCGGAAGGTTTTGAGGAGCATGGAGCAGCTTTTTAATTGCTGTTGTTCTCATGTCCACCTGAGTGGATATAACACCTATTTGGTTACCAAGTATGGGCAAAAAGATAACCTCCGATCTGGTGCGAAAACAGTATGGAATTATAAAAATACGTTTTTATAGTAAACATACCAACAATACATTTTCATAGCAAAAGAAAGGAAGGAATTTATCATTCAGAGGATTCTTCCAGTGATCCCATAGCAAGAGAGCTTGTGCAGTAAACCTTTATGCCACACATTTCCAAGACTTAACGCTTAAATAGAATGATCTAATAAGAGGCTTTTCTTTCTTTTTGGCTGTAATATTGGGATAAGAAAAACAATATACATACTGACAACGAATCATTATAAAAGTGTATACATTCAAGGGAATGTCGCTGCACGAGTCCATACATACGCATATAATTATTTACAGTTGTATATAACAAGACTGAGTGCATGTTTGTTAGTAATAGGGACAATCCCAACATGCAAATTACAGATTGGGGATACCAAAATCAAACAGCTGCAAGAATGTAAATATATGGGAAGCGTATTAACAGAGAACGAAAGCTGCGACACAGAAATCCGAAAGCGCATTGGGATAGCGAAAGATGCCTTCCAAAAGCTGAGTAAAGTATTAAGAAACAGAAAGAAATATCATCAGAAACAAAGGAAATAGTACTGAACTGTTTTGTAATATAAGCCCTCCTATATGACAGGGAACGCTGGGCAGTTTTCATATCGAGGAAGAAGAGACTCCAAGAAACATAAATGTGGTTCTACAGAAGGATGCTGAGAATACCACGAATCGAACTGACAAAGTTCTAGAGACAATGGCAACAAAATGGACACATATGCTTAAAGTCAGAAAGAGCCAGTTCAAATTTCTGAGGCATATAATGAGGAAAGAAGGCTTGGAAATTTGATACTCAGAACATATTGAAGGTAAAAGGACCAGAGGGAATCAACGCATAACATACCTGGAGTGTTTTAGCGAATGGATGGTTTTGCAGCTTTTAGGAGAGATAGCAAAAAGAGAAAAGTTTTTAAGACCTAGAAAGGTCAGGATGTTGTGGACACGATACATAGAAGATGTTATGCATACACGCAACAGAGACACGCGTGCGTATAGGTAATAAAATGATATGAAAATATGAGCAAGGCTGTAAACTGCTTAGTCGCGAAGCTCTTCGTAGTTTAGTCGGTTAAAACACGTCGCATCTAACGACGTTTTCTTCTGCCAAGGGTAATGGAGTTTCGAGTCCTACCAGAAGAAACTTTTTTCTTTATTGAATATTCAGGCGAGTTGACGAAATAAATACTGTTGAAAATAAATGGAAAGCATGTACAAATATGTGTAGCCATTAAAATGCCGTTTAAAATGAAAAAAAAATATGGAATTAATAAATAAAAATCAAACTGAATAATAAAAATCTGTTCATATATATATATATATATATATATATATATATATATATATATTCAAGTTTGGTAGAATATATGTCTATACTTTTTTTGCAATCTTTTTTATAATCTTTGTATTGGTTTGACCTTTAGTAGTTACTCATCTAACTTCTAGTGACGTGATATCACATTATCTCGTGCTGGTCATTTTATATTTTATTTTTATTTTAAAGTTTTTTCAGACGATTCATCTATCTATCTATCTATCTATCTATCTATCTCTCTCTCTCTATATATATATATATATATATATATATATATATATATATATCAGTCTGTTGTTATCCATCTATGTATCTGTCTATTTATCCATACATGCATACATACATATATATATATATATATATATATATATATATATATATATATATATATATATATATATATAAGTTATGAAGAACTTGGTAATCCGTATGGGTAATACCAAGGAGGATGAAATCCTGAGAACTCAATGTAAATCCAGAGCTAACATTTAAAAGAAAAAACAGACAACTTTAAGGTACCATTAAAATAATTTATTTCACCAGTCCTTTTAAAGGACGCCGGATCATCAGATAGCACTTCCAAAAATGAAATGAAACGAAAAATTAAATTATATATATATATATATATATATATATATATATATATATATATATATATATATATATATATATAATTTTCAAATTCATACAGCTGTTTGTTAATAACTCAACTAATATATATATATATATATATATATATATATATATATATATATATATATATATATATATATATATATATCCTGCCTACTTCTATCATCTGTTTCTCGGCATAAGTTTGAATGCAATTATATTTTCTTGTATATATATAAACATATATATATATATGTGTGTGTGTGCCTATAAATTTTTGTTCATATTTCTCCATGTGTTTTTAAAGTCTGAATCTCTTTCAGTGTGTCCATGTGATTGAATGTAAAACTTTCAATGTTTTTTTTTTATGTGTGTGTCTGTGTAATTGTATGTGTGTTCATTCTTTTTATTTCGATCTCGCCGTTGTCAATTCATGGCGACCGCTCTGTACCACGATTTTTTTGCCTTTCATTCCATGAATAACAAAAGAAAAAAAATTGAGAAAAATACAATAAACCCAAGGAGCTCCTTTATGAATTTAAGATAATTTTTCTTTTCAGGTTATTCACAGATTTTTACAATCGATAAAAAAAAGATCCTTTCAGACACTACACCGAAACCGAAGCGGATAAGAAAGAAAGAAAGTAAGAAAGAAAGAAAGAAAGAAAGAAAGAAAGAAAGAAAGAATGAAGTGAAGAAAAAAATGAAAGAAAGAATAAAATAGGAAATAAAGAAAAATAGAAAAAAGAAACGAAGAAAAAAAAAGAAAGAATAAGTGAAACAAAGAAACTAAGAAAAAAGAAAGTAAACGATTGAAAGAATAAAGAGAGGAAAAAGGGTGAAAAGAGAAAAAAAAAAGAAAGAGTAATTTAGAAACAAAGGAAAAATAATAAAACGAATAAAAGAAAAAAGAATACAAATGAACAAAGAAAGAAAGAAAAATGAAAGAAAGGATGAGAGAAAAGAATACAAAATGATAAAGAAAAAAAACTGAAACAAAGAAACAAACGATTGAAATAATAGATTAAAACGAAAGAAAAGAGAAAGTAAAAAGAAAGAAAGAACAAAGGTAGACAAAGAAAGAAAAAGAAACAACGAATAAAGAAAAAAGAAAGAAAGAAAGGAAGAAAGAAAAAGCAAAAGAAAGAAAAAATATTGAACTGCTACGTCATATTGAATCTCTTCGTTTGCATTAAAAAGAAAGCAAGAAAAATAGAGAAAATCTCAATTCTTTAACATCTTTAGAATAGTTTTAAAATACAGACAATACGACAAAAGTCGACGCCCATCACAACCCGATTCTCTTCCTCCTCATTTTATCCTCCAAGTCTGAAATGATGCTATGTGATCTCCGCTCATCTTTAAAACACCGACATGTGATGTCAACTCTTCCCATCTATATACTACTCTCCATTTTTAATGGAGTGATCTGAAAGCTAAATGCTGACAGTCTCTCTCACTTCAAATTTCCAGAATACTTACTCCAATTTCGTACGTTCCATTTTAATGAAAAAAGATAAGGCAATGCTATCGTTTAGGATTTTACTCATACTAACATTCTGATCTCTCTATCTCTCTTTCTCTCTCTCTCTCTCTCTCTCTCTGTTATAGAGTAGTTTCACAGTGGAGGCTTGTATTTCACTAAGTCGGTCCTAAAAAGGTTCGACGTACAAAACGTTAGGAACTTGATATAATAGTTAATGACGCAGCAATCTAGTTGTGGTGGTTGATACTTTAATATCCGACTAACGGTCGTCCGACATCGACTGACTCACCAACTCACTGAGCCCCTGGTGACTGCTAATAGAATAGGTATGTTCCAGTATAACACACACTCTCTCTCTCTCTCGAGTTTACTTTTTTTTCATAAACTGAATACGTAATATCAAAACTACTTAAATTGCATCGAACATACAATTCGATATCAGTGTTTTTACTTTGATTTCCTTATTGGCGTCAACAAACCTGTGATCTTCTTCCTTATGTGCCATACTCCCTCAGGATGTAAGCGATTACGGTTCTTCACAACTTTATGTTTAGTCCATTCTTCTCGATTTCCTACTGTAGGATTTTTTTTCTTTCTGTGCCTGCTATCAATACTCTATCATCTGCATATCTTATGCTGTTAAGATTGTGGTCGCCATTAATGAATCCTGCTGGGACATCTAATTCTCTGTGATACTTTTAAAAAACAAACTCATTTGTCTTCTTTTGTTTAATGCTATACTAAAGCTAAAGTATATCTTATGGATTTGTTCCTATATCATTGATGCTTACTGACATTTTTAGCGTAAAATTGCCCTAAGCTCAGAATGTTAACTCGATTGACAGGTTTGAATTTTTTATAGTAAAGTTCACCCAAGGCTCATGAGCCACTTGTGGTAGAGTGTTACTGAATGAGATGTGATAGTATAAATAACAAATAGGAAACGTATACCAATCTAACATGTTTCCCTTTTTTTAAAGCTTTATCAGAGAATGAGACATGGAAAATAAGAAGAAATATTTTCTGGTATTTTTTATATTTTCGTTTTATGAGTTTCATTGGTTTATCAGGCATTTGACTTTTAAGCAGAGTTGGTATAATTTATGGCTTTCAGAAATCAGGGAGTGACGAAAAAATTAAAGATTGCAAGCCTAACTGGAAAAAGAAACGTAAAATATTGTTTTATGTAAGTGTCATAATTCTAATTTGCCTATGTTGGATTTAAATGATAATATATATTTGTGTGTTTGTGTATGTGTGTTTGCGTGTGTACGTTTCTAGACATTATTTATGTTTAGTGGCTGTCTGCATGTTCATTTGGGACATTTTTACATAGACATCGGTTGTGGTAGATAAACAAACACATTAGATTCTTTAAGAATTGATTTAATAAAGATGCGATATAGTAATTTTGACTTGTGCTTATAGTTGGTAAAATATTTATCAGGATTCCCTCAAATTATCTTCGGCGTAAAGAATTATGTTCTTCCTATAATTATGGCAGCATTTGTAAAATCAATTTGTAAAATGAATGATATGTGCCATGAGGAGAGTAGAAAATGTAGAAGGAGATGAAGATTACGAGGGGGGATAGACAGCAGTTGACCCATGACCCTAAGAGGTTAAGATTTTGGTGTTCAAGGAAGCATCATCGTGGAAGTTTGTTCCGCAGAGTAGTAATTCACGAGAAAAAAAGTAGTCAGTTTGGAACTTCCACCTTACAAATGGAATACGAAGTGAATATGTGGGATTCAACTCCGTGGATTTAACGTTAACTGATCCATATAATCATTTTCTTGTTCATCTTATATTTCCATACAACCAGGGTTACCGTCAGTGGAAATTTAACCATTGAATTACAGCACCTAGCATCCTCCATAGTTTAACTTGAATTTCACACTTAGCCTGAAGAACATATATTAACATTCTTAAATTTAAAATGTTTGAGCCTAACCTTATTTTAATTCTGTTTATAAATAAATGTTACAAAATCACTTAATTTAAAATTCCATCAGAGGACGATACTCGGAAGTAAAGAGAGTGAGTTCAATACCTGGTTAAGGCGGTGGAGAACTTGCAGAGGGGAATTAACAGGAGATAACTGATTAGAAATGGCACATGGAACTAGAACACTCTAGCCCAGCGAGCAAAATAAAGGATTCAGTTCGACATTCCAACCACCGAACAACGGCCGAAACGTTGTGATAAATATGGCAACAGAGATGAGGACAATAGTCCGAATAATGTAAATAGTGTACATAATACCTCATCTCAGAAATAGAGACAGATACAGAGCCCAGTCTGCTGTGGTATTTTACTCATAAGTAGAGAAAGATTTGTTCGTGCATTTTTCAATAGCTTTAAAGTGAAGTGAACATAACAGACTTTGAACACTGTCCTTCAATTTCACTTTACGCTAACACATGGATAATTATCAAGTAATGAAATCTGAAGGTGCACCCGTGCAACTTAATCATTCATTACAAGGCGGGTACCAATAGAATCGGCCATTAAAAAAAAACAAAAACAAAAAAAACTATTACTCAGTGGTTGTTCGTAGTTCGTAATGAGAACAATAGACTTAGCTGCATTTGAGTCATAATTGAATTAGAATACATTTTCTAAACGTCTATTGAAAGCTTTGTGTGAGTGCTGCTTTAACATAAAATACAATATTAGATAGACAATAATTAATGATGTCTGTGCCAGCAGGATTAGATTTAAATGAATGTGATTAAAATTCCGTTTTAGTTTCTCTCAAGTTCAGTGTTTGTGATAGAAATGTAAAGCTGATAGCTGACTGCTTTGCACTGATACATTTCTCTATATATTCAATCTGCTTAAAATGAAAGGTATTTTATTCTCAACACTTTAAATATCATCATAGTCTTCATATATCTGTATGAAAGACATCCCTACCAGAAAAATTAACAAGATGTTTGGAGTCTTGCAGCGAGTCTCCTCTTCTGACTTATAAATAATAGCTCAAGGGAGAAAAATTGGCTTTTAATTATTAGTAACGCAATAGCCACGCTAGTGTCGTTTTATCATCACCCTTCAGACCGAGGGGTTCTCTTCAGTCACGTAAAATGGTTCGTGGCTCTATGAATCTCCATGCTTTGCTTGCCTATTTGGTTTCATTTTAACTCGAGACCCCAGATGAAATTTATATATAAAATCCATTGCCAAGGATGCCGAAATAATGGTTTACTGATTCAATACTTCCTGAGAGTAATCAAGATTTCCACATTCGACACTACTTCAGACAAAATGTTAAAAAGGAAACATCTAATAATAGAAATATCGATGGACGTGAGAAACCTATTTTCCTGAAAAATTGTTTTAAGAGAAATAATTTATAGATTTCTACCAACCATAGTACTGACTGCTCGGTCAATAAATGTGAAATGTTTCCTTATGAGGAAACAGCTAATATTTCCACTGCCATTAACATTTCAGCTCAGATAAACATGACTTATTGTTACCATATCCCAACGGGAGGTGTTCAATAATCACTTTCTAAACTTGATGAAGCTCAAAATCGTTTCTGTGGACATTTTTTTTTTGTTGTTGTTGTGGGAGACGTATTTTTCCAAGCTGCATCCTTTTTCACACAGACTCAACGTAGCAAGGCTAAAGGTATTCTATCGCCATAGTAAATGTTCGGATGAGCTTCTTTAGTTCTGGCAGTTCAGATCTGTATAGCAAGGTTGCGTCATGCCACTTTGGCGGTGACGTGTCTCTCTTTCCTCCGTGTTAGGGAAGAAGAAGGTAGTTTCATACATGCTGCTTTTTTCCGAAGAACTTCTACTTTGTGGACCAGACCCTTACGGCGTTGTTACGCTGATGACTTCAATCTTGACCTCATCAAGTTTACGGTCAATAACCGTCTTACTTTCTTATCTTCGATAAACTTCATTTTATATAGCATTCATATCGCACACCTCATTCTTCATAACCATTTAGTCTAGTGGCTCTCGGGTCTTTCGCATAAAATATACTCTTTAGTTTATTCTAAAAAATATTAGGCGATCACAAAAAATCGCCATAATCACTGAAGGTTACGACAACACAACGCGGTTCTTGATTCATGGCTGACGTTAACGTTCGGTTCGCGGCCGTATCCCGATGTAACACCGGTTCTCGTACGATTGCTGAAATTAAGCAACCTTGAGCTTACTCACTAACTAGACCGCTTGGGAGTACAAAGTGCTGTAAGCTTGGATGTGCGAATGATGTAATCGATAATGGCTCGGAATTGGAAATTGAAGAGTCAAGTTCGAATTCCAGTCTGATTCGTTATATTTACTTAAACGCAAATACATTTGGGAAATGCATGAATTCACCTCTTCACCCCCACCCCACGTTATTGGTCTAATTAGTAGAACTTGGATCAGTAAATCATTATTATATCCCAAAATAACTTACACTGTAAAAGTAATTTCTAGCTTTAAGCAATATACAAAAGGTTAATAAGCCGTTAAAAGCAAATAAATCAATCGGTGTGCGGAATCATAATACAAGATAGGATTGTCTCATTTGAAATACCAGTCTAGAATAATATTAGTACTTTTGTCCGCCTCACTTTAGCCATGTATCTTTCTTGTAAATATAATAAATAGCTTCAGGGATTATATATATTAGCATACGGGTGCTTATCAGAGAAACAAAATTAAAATTTCATGAGCTTGTCTTGTTGTCGTATCTTAAATAAATACAGTAGCAAAGTTGAAAAAGAACATAAAAAGGGCCCATTAGAATAGGGATAGTTAAATACTGAGAATAGTGTCACCAATTTTGACAATGAAAAAATGCTATAAACACAAACTAGATGCTGTTAGAAGACACTCAAAGACCAATCCCACCATCCAGGTTAGAATAACAGATACGAGAGCAACAAACAAGGTAAAGGACACCTGCTATATCATAGAAGTTGCTATGCAAACCAAAGTGCAGGTGCAACTAACAGAAAGCCACACATCAAACTTGAAAGATTCTAAAATCTAGGTGAAGTTAAACGAAAAGTACAAAAAAGTGAATGTTATGAGTGTACTTCAATTGTTGGTGCACTGTCAGTGCCAAGCTTACGGCCATATGTCGTTGAAATACGGGTTCTCGTATGATCGCCGTAGTTAAACAACATCAAGCCTGGTCAGAACCTCGATGGGTGACCGCTTAGGAATACCAGGTTCTGTAAGATTGATGTTCGGTTGGTATGGCTTATATCCATATCAACATCGAAGCATCGGTTCTCGTACGATCACCAAAGTTAAGCTACGTTGGGCTTACGGCCATATGTCGTTGAAATACTGGTTCTCGTATGATCACCGTAGTTAAACAACATCTAGCCTGGTCAGAACCTCGATGGGTGACCGCTTAGGAATACCAGGTTGATGTTCGGTTGGTATGGCTTATATCCATATCAACATCGAAGCATCGGTTCTCGTACGATCACCAAAGTTAAGCTACGTTGGGCCTTGTCAGTAACTAGATGGGTGTCCACTTAGCAATAGTAGGCGCTATAAGCTTGATGTTCGGTTGGTATGGTTTGTATCTATATCAACGTCGAAGCATCGGTTCTCCTACGATCAACGAAGTTAAGCCACGTCGGACCTGCTCAGTTCCTACATGAGTGCACGCTTGTGAATATCCGGTGCTTTAAGCTTGATGTTCGGTTGGTATGACTTACATCCATATCAACGCAAAAGCATCGGTTCTCCTACGATCACCGACGTTATGCCACATCGGGCCTGTTTAGTACGTAAATGGGTGACCACTTAGAAATACCAGGTGATGTAAGCTTGATGTTCGGTTGGTATGGCTTGAATCCATATCAACGTTGAAGCATCGGTCCTCTTACGATCAGCGAAGTTAAGTCACGTTGGGCCTTGTCAGTATCTAGATGGGTGACCACTTGGGAATACCAGCTGCTGTAAGATTGATGTTCGGTTGGTATGGCTTTGGCTTACACCCATATCAATGTTGAAGCATCGGTTCTCTTACGATCAGCGAAGTTAAGTCACGTTGGGCCTTGTCAGTATTTAGATGGGTGACCACTTAAGAATATTAGGTGCTGTAAGATTGATGTTCGGTTGGTATGGCTTACACCCATATAAATGTTGAAGCATCGGTTCTCGTACGATCACCGAAGTTAAAAACCTGGTGCCTGGTCACTACCTAGATAGATGACCGCTTGGGAATACCAGGCAAAATAAAAAATTGATAGTAATGTATACTTGCTTGGTATTGGGCATCGGAGTAACATGATGAGGATCGTCGTCATTTTGAAATTTACTCTTTGTTGATGAGTTAGTAAGTTAGAAATTAATTGACTATATCAAAGTAGCAATAATACATAGGTTTTGTTTCGATATAATAATAATCACATGTGGAGTATACTAAATGATGTAAGAAACAGTTTCCAATTTTTATTATTATTATTATGATTAAAAGAAACTATTTCTATGTCATATTTTATTTTTGTAATGGCTAATAAAGTTCTTTATCTCCACTTTCAAAATCCTGGTAATAAACAGTCGTCCCTCAATAAGATCTCTTAAATTAATAAAAAGAATTGCCATTTGATTTGATTTTTTTATATTTTAGAAATTCTATAGACAAGTGAGAATAAAAAAAAAAAATTAAACAAATCATGGAAAAAATGTCAGAATCTGTACGACTGGAAGCCAGATAAAAAAAAAAACATGAAAAATGTAGGGATTAAGGGTTAAACGAATAAAAAGTAAAAATGATCAAAATAATGTAAAATGAAGGATAAAATTAAAGAAGAAAAAGAAAGAATGAATAAATCAATAAAAGAATGAATGAATCAATCAATCAATGAAAGAATGTGAGAAACAAAGAAAGAAAAAGAGAGAAAGAATAAATGAATGAATAACTGAAAAAAAGAAAGTAAGAAAAATTAATGAAAGATAAAAGAAAAAATGAAACAATCAAAGAAAGAATTAATTAAAGACAGAAAGAATGAAATAAAGGAATAAATAAATAAATAATGAACGAATAAAATAAAAATAATGACTGAAAGAAAGAATGAAGGAATTGATGAAAGAAAGAAAGAAAGAAAGAATGAATGAATAAAAGAAAGAATTAATTAAAGAACGAAATAAATGAAAGAAAGATGGAAAGAAAGAAAAAAAGAAAGAAATACAAGAGCGGAAATTTAAAGAAAGAAAGAAAAAGGATAAGGAACAAAATACTAATAAAAAAAGAAAGAGAAGGAAAGAAACAAAGGAAGAATGAAAAAACGAGAAGATGTCTGAAATAATACAAGACTGTGAAGCAGTAAAAGTAAAAGGAATGATAAAGAATATAAAAGCAAGCATGCATGAAAAAAATTGTTGAATGTAAACGAAAAACACATATACGAAAGAAATAGACGAGCTAAATAAAGCACAACTACAGATTTTAAATGTTTCAAATGATAAATTTTTAAAAGATTGGAAAACCTTCTTCTAGTCTTCCTAAAATATGGTCAGAATTTTTGTTATATTTTATCAATTTCAGATTTTAAAAAGAATGCAGTGTAGAAGAAAAAAAACAACTTCTTTTATTCATCGAGTTATCCATTCTGTCAGAAACAATAATATTCTGGAACAAACAAAAATTGCTTATAAAGAAAGGAACATTTTTAATGCAAGAACATAAAAAACCGTTGGTAAACAAAAGGTTTATAATTTTTAGAATTTAAAAAAAAATGCTGAAATAATTTTTTTTTTTTTTCGTTTTTATTTTTAAAATTAGCGATAAAGAATTATGATTTGTTCGTGAAACCGCCCTTTTTCCCCCGGAGTTAAATCCATACCATACTCTGCTCTTTTAATTGAAATATATTAGACAACACTCACCCACTATTATTCGTCATTTATTCTTTTCGATTCTTTGTTTATTTGTTATGTTTTTATGCATTTTTTTTATTTTAAATTTTAATTTTTGTTTCCAACGCATTTTTAAATGTTTGTTTGCTTCCTGTATTTATCGTAGCAACCGGAAAGTCACAGCGTGGCTTCGGCAAATCTTCCAGCATCAATCACCGCCACGTGACAGTGAGCCCCACAACACTCAGCGTTGCGTACGTTCTCTTTTTGTCATTTCTTCTGCTTCTGTATTCGTAAAGATGTTATTGATGTAGCTGTTAATGTAGTCGTTAATGATGATGATGGTGATGATTGCAATAATAATATACAACATAATATCCACAATAAATGACATATTTCCCAACCTGCAGATCCGTTCCAACAGACGGAAAAACCGCAAGACTCTCACTTCCCTATCGCTAGTGCCATGGCAAATGTTCAGACGAGCGCCATAATATTTTTATTGTCACCAAATTCAGACATTTATTGCCAAGACCCACTCATCTACGCCCGCAGGGTTGGGGTCATCCTCCTATTCCATTGGTAAGAAAGCAATTTCGCTCAAACAATCTTTTCCTAAAAAAAACAATGTTTATGGAACATACTGCCGCGTGGATGGTTCCCCGAACACTTCACTGTTAATATTTGAAGTCTAGAGTCAAAAAATGTTATTAAAATCAGGGTTTTCCTTCCCCTAGATGAACTACCTTACTGGGCTGTCGAGATTCTATCTACACGAACTAGCAGCTTATGAGGAAGCCATTTTTCTGCCTTCGCTCATTCTCCGGCTTGGAGATAGAGTTAAATGTCAGAGGCTATTTTTTAGACACATGCCACAGAAGCCTTTTATACACACTATCAGCCCCCCCCCCCGGCTCTGGCATTCTTTGAAACATAATGTACGTATATAAACATTTATATACATTAAGTGTTTTAGAAGCTTGAAAAAATTTTTTTTTTTAATATACAGGGTGTTTCAAAAAATTTGATATCATTTCGCAATCTAATAACTTTGTTAGATCTCCTTCAAATGACTTCAAATTTTAATAGCATCTTTATGTTTAATGTTTGTTTTATGTTTTTATGTCTTTAGGTTTTTGTGTTTTTCTTATTTGTATTTTTATGATCTTTAATCTTTAATCTTTTTCTTCACAGGTATAAAAATGCCGTGTCTCAGGCGGTGCGCATATTGAACATTTCTGAAATCGTTCACATAATCCACATGCTTTTGAATTTCTCATTCAGATTTGGAAGAATAAATCTTATGATCTTCAACATTAATACTTTTTTAATTTCATTTGCCTTAATCATGTACTTTCTGTGATATTTACATCTCAAAGGATTTCAAATTTTTTGAAACACCCTGTACTGGGTTGGTGCATAATTATCAGGCATTTTTTGAAACAAAAATTATTATGCAAAAAGAAACATAACAATTCAGCAATAACTTTTTTAAATGATTATTCCGGAGCGTATGTTTATTGACACGGATTTATATAACCTAAAAATAAAATAATATTTTTATTAAAAACATAAACAAAACATCAATTTTCATTAACAAATAACTGGCCTACAAAAACGGCTGATAATTATGCACCAACCCAATAATTCCTAATTTCTCTTTTTGCGTTCAATTCTCACGACGCATTCCGTAAATCTCTACCTTGAGTGGATCATGTTTTTTTTTAATTGAATGAACATAAGTATAAAATATAGTTATTATGAAAATTAGAACGACTGTTTGTCTATTTAATTCTTTTTTTTCTCCTCGTTTTTCATGTATATATTATTTTATTCTTTATTCTCTCGTTTTACTTCACAATTGTCTCATTCTGTTTCTCTTGTGATATTTCTTTATTCTTACTACGTTTTTTCCATTTTTCTAATCCTTTTAGAACACACTGCAAAACGGTTTGAAGCTAGCTTGGAATGATGGCTACAGTCATTATTATTACCATTATTAATGATTATCCTAAGTTTTTTTGAAATATATATATATATATATATATATATATATATATATATATATATATATATATATATATAATATATATATATATATATATATATATATATATATATATATCAGTTCCGTGTAGGATACAGGTTCGATTCCTGTCGGAAGACACATATTTTCTATAAGATTTCTCGGACATTGAGGCTGGTAAATGTTGTTAATACTGTTTATTATAAACACAGCATTTACTTAAATATTTGTATCTATAAAAATAACGTATATAAATATATTAAATATTTGTCGGACTTAGTCCATTTCATTATATATATATATATATATATATATATATATATATATACCTACTCGTAGAATTTTAAACAGTATAGAGGGAATTGATTTGAATTATACGTCCTTCTTTGTAGGTAAAGAATTTAATGCTGCGTCAGTGATGAGCGCATGATTGAATGATGTTCAAATGCCCATCCTTGAAAAAACACAGACACAATTTAGGATTAATTGATGTTGGTTGTCTTTGGTAAGACGTTAAACTACATCTAGCAGCAAGGCGATAGGGTGGTTTGGAGGAGCATGGAATCACCTTTTAATTGCTGCTATTCTTATTTGCTGTGACGTCCATCTGTCTCTTCTACATATATTTTCACGGCAACTGTTCCTACTGTCACTGGTTCCCGGTTTTCATGAATTTAAACGTGCTATCAGGCCGACATCTCGGTCTCACCCTTTCACTTTAAATGTAATTGTATCTTCTTCTCAAACAGCTTCTTCTTTCGTACTTCCCATCTGTGAAACTCCCTTCCCCTTAATTGCTTCCCCGATGACTATAATTTTCAAATATTCAAGTGTAATGTCAATCGTCATTTGACACCTTGAGCTTGTCCTCCGTCCTCCTCTGTATCACTTCCTCAAACATGCCTCTTTACTCTTGTTCTCAGTCCTCTGTAACCCCTTGCCTGCTAGTGGCACTCCTGACTTGCTTGGGGTGAATTGCCTTAAAAAAAGAAAAAAAAGAAATGTTCATGCTGAACTAGGTGGGGGGGGGGGTAACACCTGTTAGGGTTCTATCTGTGGGCAAATACTTAAACCCCGATTTGGTGGGAAAACTCTGTCAAATTATAAAAAACACATTTTTATAGTAAACATACAAGCAATAAATTATCATAGTAAAACAAATTACCAGCAATACATAAATTAAAAAAAAAAATCTACCAGCAATATATTTTTGTAAAAAGTAAAAATGTTACCAGCATTGCATTTTTGAAAAAAATATTACCAAAAATACATTTTTGTAAAATAAATTACTGACGCCCGCAAGAGAATTAAATTTCAGCATTAAATGACCCATAATGTGTTGATATGCCGCTAAACAAACGAAACTGCTGTTGCAAAATATGTTCTTGGAATGGCTTAATTCTTGTTATGCTTGATAAACTCTGTAGAAATTCTAACATCCACTTTGAGTTCGACTTCCACACAGACATACGTATTAAATTTAGCACTCAAGTGACCGCCACAGCACAACTTTAAGATTGGTAGAAACGCTACTGATTGTAAATATAACTTATATAGAATTTTATATCTTTATATCTCACATTACAAATATTAACAATTGATTGGAAATATAACTGGAATATAAAATTTAATATATCAATGTTTCAAATTACAAATATAAGCAATTATTTAAATTTTGGAAATTGCGACACTAAAATTAGAAGGCGTACTAAGATACTTAAAAGATGAATTACAAATGCCAAGCAGAGTACTAATAAATAGAAAAACCTCGCTAAAAAAGTACTAAACTGTTCTGTGATATATATCCTCCTGTATGGCCGTGAGTGCTGGACAATCTCTTCAAAGATGAAGAAGAGACTTAAAGCAACAAAAATATCGTTCTGCAGAAGGATGCTGGGAATATCATAGAGCGAATATGTGAACAGTGACGACGTTATAGAAAATAACTTCTATGAGCTATTCAATGACGGAATTTAATTTTTTAAGAGATAATAATGATTTTAATACTACAAGTTTTACTAATTAACACTTTAGTTGGTGGAGAAGAGATTGATTCATACATTTCCACAGGGGTATTTGCGCGTAATTGAATATATAGAACCCATCTAGGTTTGGAACTCAGCTCTCGGATATAGAATTCCGAGCGATTATCCATTACACCATCCGCACACCCAAGCTTACAGCATTTAGTATTCCCAATGTGTTGCCCATTTATCCCCATGTGCAAATTAATTGAAACAACCGCTTCAGTTTCCTTCCTGTGGCGTGGATTTCTGTGTATTATAAACCTCATGTCTTAGAGAGAGAGAGAGAGAGAGAGAGAGAGAGAGAGAGAGAGAGAGAGATTAATAGATGGACAGATAGATAGATTATAGGTCGATAGATGTATTCAGATACATAGACCAGGTGACAGAATTACCGTAGCTTTAGACGCAGAGAGAGAGAGAGAGAGAGAGAGAGAGAGAGAGAGAGAGAGAGAGAGAGAGACAGACAGACAGACAGATAGATAGATAGATAGATAGATAGATACTTACATACGTAATATAAAAAATAAATATATTTCTTTTATAATTCTGCTTTAAGTTGTTTTTGGTGGCCAAATTCCTACAAGTAAAAATTTCGGTCAATTGTTCCGTGAGTAAAAATAAAAAACAATTGTAAAAACAACTTTTTTCATTATTGACTTGAAGTCCATATTTTCATAAATAATTTTATCGAAGTTTCAGCATACGGTCACTTTTAGATCCATGAAGTGACAGGATGTAATTGATTTCTATCTTTTCCTCAGATTAGGTCATTTGCTGTGGTGTGCAGTAATATGAATCTATTTTCGAGGTGTATGATGAAATTTGTTTGGCCTAGAAAAATATTGCATCATCCGTGATTGCATCAGATTTTCACCACACATAGACACTATTGTCTCGTCTGTCGATTAGTTGTCCTACGGCCATTATCTACGATGGATGCTACTCCAAGGAAGGGTACGAGAATTGTAAAGCTGCACGAACACACTGGCAAGCCTTATCAGTGAACAAATCAAAGTACTATCGACTGGCTTGGAAACTCTCCTGATTGAAATCTAGTCGAGAATCTGTGGTCAATCTGCATCGTGGAATGGACATACGAACTACTAACATGTGCACTTAATCACGATTCATTGGAAAAATACGGAAAAAAAGTAAACAACGGAATTATTCGCTTTGTTTCAATTAATTTGCACATGGCTATAGGTAATGACCAAGCCCAACGTTATGATCGTACGGGAACCGATGTTTAAATGTCATAGGGTCGTAAGCCTCTGAAGTCTGTGCCCATTCAAATTTGCTCTATTGGTTTGGAAGGAAATTCCTACAATTTCTAAATGAATTTCGTGTTCACAAACTGAACGACATTAGGGAGTTTCGTTTTACCAAGTTTTACGTACGACTTAAATAATTTAAGACTAAATTCTTTCCTTCAGATAAATTCAAACAGAATACTTGACACGATAGTAATAATATTTTGTTGCGAAAGTAGATTTTTTACATGGCGTTATTTTTATATACTTAGAGAATAATTTCCCTGGACCTATTTTTCAAAAATAAATTACAGTGGGTATCCCAGTAGATAACACTTCCGGAGATCATTAAATGTAAACGATTCCCCAACTCCAATACGTACAATGATTCTCCATAGAACCAGGTTGCTATTTAGGATTCTCGAAAAGCCTTTTTCGTACGCTCAGAAAAGAAAAAAAATGTCATCTGGATGATTACGCAGATATACGCCATGTTTAGAGTCTCATTATCGTCTTCGTAATTGATTTTTGTTATCTCTTAAAGGAAGATGTATGACTACGCTGTGAAAAGCGATTTAGTGATTTAAATTGCTTTATCTTACAGGTGAAGCCCCTAAGAATCAAAGTTAAGCATTTTTTAAAAAGAAAACCTGTTAAAGGAGAGAATATCAGCAATTAGAATATCCTTCATTCATTCGTTTGTCTCCCTTGTATCTTAACTGGCGTGTCATTTCAGAATAAACAGAATGTCATGTGACACTTAAAAGATCAAAGTTGTTTTTTTTTTATTATGGAAAATTATCAAGCAACTGGAAAAAAATTAATATCTAGGAAGTGTTTTAAAATAGAACGAAAAATGCGACGCCGAAAACTGAAGGTGCATTAGGTTAACGTGTGTATATAGGACCATTTTTATACTCAACTTCACAGCATCGTCTAGTGTATCCCAACCAATGAAGAGACTTACAACCATATTACTTTTAAACACCTTTTTCGCGAACGATCACTGAAGTTAAGCAATGTCGAGACTGGACAGTACCTAGATGGGTGACCGCTTGGAAAAATCAGGTGCAGTAACCTTGGATGTGCGGGTAAATAGGACTTACAGTAATATCACATTGAAACATTGATTCTCGTACGATTACCGAAATTAAGCAACGTTGAGCCTGGATGTGGGACAGCTTAGGAATACCAGGTTGTGCAGAGGGTATAGCTTACGGTAATATCACGTTGAAACCCCTGTTGCTGTACTGGAAAACTATCCAGAGTTCAAATCCCAGTTAGGTTCGTTATATTCACTTCCACGCAAATGTCCTTTGGAAAGCTACGAATCCACGTATTTACCCCAACTATAGGTTAATTAGTATGACTTATATCAGTAAGTCTTTATTATCGCCAAACATTATGACAAACTAAAAATATTTTCGGCTTTAAATAACCTGCTAAAGGCTGATAGGGCGTTAAAAAGACATATCAATCAGTTAAAGGTAGCATAAGAGAATATTTATCTTCTAGGATACTTCAAGGCTAAGGGAGACGACGATTAAGAGACCTGGCTAGCGTGTGAGGTCTCTAGGGTAAAAGGAAAATAAATGGGACCCCTAGAGTCCGTCTTCTATCAAAAAGTGAATGTTTAAACAACTATTTCCAGAATAAGGCTTGCCACAAAGCATTGGCACCAGCGATATGTGATCATCCCCAGATGCGATTCTCTAAACAGCATCTACAACACAAGAGACTGCGACACTGACCACTGCCGAATGTTTTCACAAGTAAACATTAAACCAAAGAAAGTGCTTTATTCAAAAAAGAAATGCCATTTGAGGAAAAAAAACATTAGCCCGACCGTCTAAATAGCCTAAATAAACATAAGGAAATAATAAATAAATGCACTTACGTTTTAAATAGACGGAGTGATCTGAATAAAAAGGGTGAATTTATTTTTTATAATTAGTATGAATTATAGTTGTAATAACAGGTTTTGTCGCTGTTGTAGGGAACGTAGTGATAACCCTCGCTATATAAAGAACTGATACACTTCTATTAAATGGACGATTTCAGTAGGAATATAAGCATCTATGGTGTCGTTGTCGGTGTCAGTGTCGATCTCGAGTCAGTCAGTCGATGTCGGTCGACCGGCTGATCGGTTGAACTGTCTGCCTTCGGGCAGGGAGGAACCCGAAAGAGGCTACGCCGAAGGGCGGAGTCTATTTCGGGGAGGTAAACCGACCCTGAACCCGTTTATACGGGTTCAATGGGAATATTTTTGGCCGAGCCCACGGGCTCACAGAGCCCACGTTAAAAAGGCCTTGTGCCACATGACGCCCTCGTGGGAGGGTGACTGAATATCGTCAGTGTCGATCTCAGGTTGGTTCTACTTTTCAGCCAGCACCAAGACGTCGAAATATCTGCCTTCGGGCAGAGAGGAACCCTGACGAGTCTATATCGAACGGGTAGCGTCTTGTCTGGGGAGGCTAACAAACCCGACCTCGTGTATGCGAGGTCTACGGGGAATTTTTGTCCGAGCCTATGGGCTCGGATTGCCCTACATAAAAAATCACCCTAATGCTATATTCTGCCTCATGGGGTGGTTGGGTTAATACTGGCTTTCTTTCCAGCTTCAGAAGAATGTGAAAATATCTAATTGTATTGTTTTTGCTTAAAATAAACCATTTTATTTGTAAGTTGCTGTTCTAGTTATTATTTTCAATAACCACTCCGGAAACTTTATAAAATTCTGAGAATGCTTGCAGCTTAAGATAAGGGATGGTTGGAATACGGATGTCTCAGATAGATTCCCCACCCCCGCGCATATGAAAGATCCACCCGGTCCGTTTATTTAAAACTCAACCGCGAATGAATAAATAGATTCTTTTTAGAAGAATTAAGCTGAAATCTTAAACTTCAGTTGAAACTGTCTCCTATCTAGCCTAGCTTTTACTTGAAAAAGATTTCATCCTTCTAACCGCACCCCTCCCAACACCACCAGCTGTCTGAGTGTAATAAGAACTTACCCTGGAGTAATGTGAAATCGGCTAAATCTGAAATTGGTACATCAAGTTAAAAAGATGCATTTATCTTGTACGAATGCATGATATATTTGCCCTTATTATATAGCAGTTTATATTAATTAATTTTCTGTTTTTTGTTCTGATTTTTCAGGCTCAAACTGTTCCACAAATAAAAACGCTTCCTCATCTGAATCTATCGTTGGTTGGAACTTTACTCTTTAACGATCTGAACTTTCCTTTAGAAAAGGTCAAGACCGAATCTATTCTGCTGGAAAGGATCGTTTATTGATTTTGAATCTCCCAAACAAAACAAGCCAGTTCACCAATAAACCCCAGAAAAAGAAGCGGTGGAGAAAATGATGACGACTTATCAGTCGGCTGGAAAAGCCAGATTGTAAGAAAATAAAAAAGGGGCAAGATCAAATTTTGGAAGATTTCACAAACAATGGACTGGCCAGACAGGAAAGGAATTGGCCAGTTACTGATCTTAAGCCCGGCTTTGGCTAAAAGAGTGGAGCTGATTTGAAATTTTCAAGTCTGATATCGATCTCATTGGATCGATATAACATTCTGGGTATTCTTATTAAGAGCACGGGTGTCTGTGACGTGTATTAAAACTTCTTTGATTTTTTTTTTTTTTGGCTTAACAAGAAGCTCAAATCAAACTAACAAGAAAATACATTAGAAGATAATTTTGGTGGTTGAATATTGCTTCATTGTTTAACCTCAGTATTTACCCCACGTTAACATTCAGTCACGCATACCTCATTTCAGTGTGATAGATAACAATCTATAGAATTTTTACGTACCGAAAAAATATTTGTCAAAAACATAAAAAATAAAAATAACGATTTCAGAGAGACGCTTTAAAAACAATTTACCAAAGAGCCACCATAAGATTTTGAATAAATATTCATCCTGTAAAAGACTTAAGAGCCACTCGAAGTAGAGTGTTACCTTGTAAAAGGTACAGTTTGTGAGCTTATATGCGGACAATAACCGTTAACTTTATGCGTGAATAGGCTCAGATTGTAGTGATCGGGTAAGTATCCTCTTGGGAGTCTGTTTCAAAGCAATATTTTGTAAGAAGAAGCTGTTCATGTGGAAAATATCCGCAGTGAAATACAAAGCGAATGCGGGTGGTTTGCTACGGTGTGCGTGGCATGGCGTGTCTTAGCGATGAAGGTTAAAACTGGTGGAACAAATGAATGTAGTTCGTCTCAACATTTTCCATGGAAATAGCGATAGAGTAGCAAGAGGCTGGCAAAGTTTCGTCTGAAGGAAAGGGGTTGTATGGTGGAAAATATTCCATCACCCATAAGGCCGTGCAGACACTTTCAGACTCTATCGAAATTAGAAAGTGAAGACTGGACAGCTCCTGTCTATATATGACAGCGGTACTCCATTCACGCCCTGGTCTGACTCTTGCAAAGATAGAGGATAGATAGTATGAGGAGTCAGGTACTTATTGGGACAGTACAGGAAAGTGAACATTTTCCATGATCGTTAGTGATGTATCATATGTACGAGTTCCACTTGTGGTTGCTTGAACTTAAGTCCAAATCGGCACTCTTGGAATGGGACCCAATTGGAAGAACACCCATTCATCGCAATAAACGAAAATTTAAGGTACGTTCTATGATTATGGAACGTTACTGGAACGTTTTTTTTTTCGGCATTAAATGTGACTAGTTATTTTTCCTCTAATAAGCTGTTAGAATTAGGTCAAAGGAGAGATCACCTACCATCTATCTTTTCAAGTAATCTTGGATCCGCTGTAACCGTGTCGAACCGTCTGCTTATTTTTTTTTTTTTTTTTTGCAATCTAGCCAATGTTATTCCAGAACTCTGTTTATTTCATTGTCCGTTCGGCTGTTTTTTAGCATTTTCAAACTTGGTAAAGCATTTCTAATTTTGGGGCACTTTTAACCGACTAGAGTCTAACCCGAATTATGCCGCCAACGAATACTCAATTCTCAAATTGTGAAGCGCAAAAAATATCCGTTCACACACTTCTCCGGTCTTTTGAACAGGAGTAGAGGTTGATTCCTTGTTTGCTGTTTAAGACTGGGTTTCCGGTTCCTTCTAAAGTCTACTTCAGCCCTATACTCTTAGCGCTTGTCCTTTCCTACGCTAATATAACTCCACACGGTAACGCTCTACCTTGAGTGGCTCATTGTCTTGTGTTAGGTGACAATTTCATTTTTTTATTTGATTGATTGATTCGTTTTCTACGGGTTATCAACCTTTTGCAGTTTATTTAAAGCCAGAAACTATTTTTAGATAGTAAAAGTTATTTTTCTGAAGATAATGAATTAGTGATATAATTCTTACTAATTAAGCCATAACTGCAGGGAAAGGTGAGTTCATACGTTTCCCAATGGTATTTGCGCATAAATAACAACGCCCACTGGAATTGGATCTCTGCTCTCCGATTAACATTTCAAAGCCATTACATTACTTGAACATCCCAGCTTACCGC